TTCTTAGCTATCTTCAGCCAAACACTCAACATTTATGTGCTTGAAAGCTCTGCCTCATAGTGACTCCTAATCCTATGACAACTGTGAGGGGTCACAGAATATGGGAGCAATGCTAATATGTAATCTCAAGTCCTGTTGACTATACAGTGGACCCTTGACTTACAGACGGCTTGACTTACAGACTTTTTGAGTTACAGACTTCTCTGGCCGCAAAATTTAGGTTTGACTTGCAGACTGAGATTTGACTTACAGACCAGAAAAAAACCAAAATGGAACAAAAACGGCCTGTTACGGGATTAATCGGTTTTCAATGCCCTGTAGGTCAATGGAGACTTGACTTACAGACTTTTTGACTTGAGAACCGCCTTCCAATATGGATTAAGTTCTCAAGTCAAGACCCCACTGTAGCTATAATAATCAGTCACTGATAGCCTTCTGTTTCGATTTATTTTTATCCTTTCTTTTTATTTGATTTTTTAAAATCAAGTTCAATTTTGTTTCCACATAGTTTTCTGTGGTTCCTTTTAGCATACATTTTCCATTGAAAAGCAGAAAGAACTTCTCCATACTGTACTCAAATTCAAATCTTTCACATGTTCTCCTCTCTCACCTTCCTTCAGCTTGCCAGAGACAGGTACCATGGTCACCATGGTTAGCATACTTTTAACAAGGTCATGGGGATAATTTCCAGACATGGAGGCCAGAATCCTGTTACTTATGCCTGCTGATATAAGTACATTAGTATACATTTCAACTATAAATTCTAGTAGTTAAGGAGATAGCACAGACATATGCTGTCACATGTCAGTCGTTGACAACAGCAAATGGCCTATGCAAGTTTCTAGTGGCAATTTGCTGCTGAAGTTTAAGCCAATGAATAACCCTGGCATAATTTTTCAAGCTGGACTCCAGCCATTGTGTATTAGTCTCCTGCAAGGATAATGATAAGACATATAAGAGCATATTGAAGATTACCAAATTTATTGTGGCATGGCCTTCCTTACTTTATTACAGTATGTGAAGTGCATCATCTTACTGCATGTGAGTTTTGCTTAGCTGGAAAAAAAATAAACCGTTCAATTGTGAATAAAAATATTCTAGTAATTTCTGCAGAATCTTATCTAATCATTGCCTTTAAAAGAACATATTTCTAGTTACTTCAGAAACTTAATCATTGATAAACATAGTGGGAATTTTTAGGGAAAAGCTCTATTCTTCCTAAGATACTAGTGCTTCTAGTCCATTGCCATTTGGTACAGTGTTGACAGTACTATAATCCTGAACTGCAAGTACTTTGGCAACCTACTACTATACTGCACAACACTGGGAATTTTTATTCCTCTTTCCTTGTGAAAAGGCTGCAGCAGTGTATGTGTAACTATGCAAATACATAGGGATGTGAGGGTCCACTATTCTTCACCTCCCCCATCCCAAATAAAGCTGTAGATGCAATTGAACAAAACAGTTTGTCTTCTTTATTTAACTGAGGTAAAGGGATAGAAATGTCAATCAACTTGGGAATGAACTTCTCCTGCTGAAGTAACGGATCATACAGGGGCACCCAATCTTCGTCAAACGGGTTACTTGACTTCGACGCCCATGGACCAGCCTGAACCCGTGAGGGTTCTTCGGGTTCGAAGTCCTCTCGTTTGGTCGTCAATAACGGGATCGTCTCCTCGAGCCCTGCGTATCCCCAGAGTATGGGGTTGTCTGACCCGGGGTGCTCCCAGGGTCCGGGCAGTACCCCAGTCTCCTCAGCTCCTCCAGATGCCATCTGGTCTTCTCCTCTTTCTCTCGCTCTATTCTTTTCCTCTCTTCCACTAACTTTCGGCGCCACTCTCGGGTCTCTCTTTCTCCCCAATAAGAGGGTCGGACCCTAGCCTCATTCCTCCTTCTTTCCTCCGCTTCTTGCCTGGTGAGGCACACCTGTTCCCACTTGCCTGACCAGGGGTCTTGGATGGACACCCATTCCCATCCACCTTCTTCCCCCTCTTGTCTGTGTCTGACCTCCCCCACAGCTCCCTCCTCCAGCTCCTTAGCTCCTCTTCCCGCCCAAACCAGTGGAGTCTGGGTAGCTCTATTTAACCCTTTCAGTCCCCGTTCCAAGTCCACGGTGTCCACGGACACGGTGTCCACGGACTGGCTGTCTGAGTGCCCACGGAGGCTTTAGGGCGAGACGGCACTCCCATCATCGCCTCATGACCCGGGGTACGGGTGTCACAAGGGATCATTGTGAATATTTGGGAATAATGCATTTTGGAAACAAAACTATGAAGAACAGTTTCTAAACTGTTGCAGCGGTGGGATAACTATATATTACTCAACAGTCATCATGATCACTCTAGTGCTTGTCTTTAAGAGTCCTCCCAAATATCTCTCTTGTTGGAAGCACTGATATATTTAGACTTGTGCAGCACAGATTCTACAAAAACTTGCAAAACGTGGACATAATAATACTCGGCGCCACAAGGTTTCTCTCCGACACCTCCACACACAAGGCCCAATGGTTCCTTCACTCACAGGGGATAGTTCCCATTTCCATGTCAAGCTATGCAGTAATAATCAATTTCCTGGCCAAAGGTCTGTTTAGAGCGCCGATAGCTGTTAGCTCACCCTAAAGTCTCATTGTTCTGTTTACTACTCCTGTTATTAAATCTTGGATCCATGCCCCTACTTCTTTTAATGACTGGCATTGGGTAGGCCAGTGGTCCTCAACCTTTTTCAAACCTCAGACCACTTCAGTGGGGTGGGTAAGGCAGGCGGCATTTGTGTGTGCATGGGCAGAGCATGTGTGTGTTCGTGCGTCCGTGGGGCATCCGTGTGTGCATGTGGGGGGCCATGCATGTCTGTTCTGTCTCCACAGCCCAGTCCTGTCAAGGCCATGGACCAGTACTGGGCCATGGACTGGTTAGGGACCCCTGTAGGATAGCCTACAGCCAAATCAGGATTCACACTGGATTGGTTGGTGGGTAAAATTGTGTCTGTAGCTGTTGAGGACCCCAGTCAGAGGATTTAACCCTCTGCTTAGAGGACTGGATTAGATCCAGAGTTGTGGTGTCCTTGAACTGCTTAATGCCACTGTCTATAAGAGGTCTCCTGGGGTTAAGTTTCTCTCTCTGTGAGTCATTATCGTGTCTTTCGACATGCTGAATAGTGACGTCAGAATCCTTCCCTTTGCAATACACTCTGCCGATTCTAGTAGTTTAAATAAGGGTTTAAAATTCATACTTCTTCTTCTTTTGGATGTTTGTTTCCAAGCTTCCTTTATGTTTGCATGTTTGGGCTTGGCCTTCACGGAGGGTAGGGCAGATGCCTTTCCACTGATCTTTGAGTGATCCTTTCCTGGAGGATGACGCTTTGCACTTGAAAAGTCTGTTGCAGACAAAGGGTTTAGAGAATCTGCTGTAGGTGGTGCAGCGGCAATAAGATTTCTCTGCACATCTGTCTGAGATCCTACACATGGAAGTAACTGTTCTAGTGAAAGCTTGTCAATTCTATCAATAGTTTTTGGAGACAGATTATAATAGTTCATCTTATCAGATACACACCATGGATATTCAGCCTGACTCTGGCTTAACAGGTCTACTGAATTCTTCACAAGATGCATCTTATTTTCCATCAAGTGACCTGCTATAGTGGTCACAGATTGATTTAATGCATTTAATATATCTCTAATTTATGATTTTTAAATATACCTGCATTCTACAGCTACTTGGTTCCTTTGTTGGAGTTGCTTTATTACAGCCCAAGGAGACTAGCTTACAAGATCGAGAAGAATCATGCTCCCCTGTTACTGATACAGTGTTTTTAATTTCCAGCATATTGACATTTGGCTCCTGTTCTCTAAGGATTCCAGACTCATTTGGCAACATCAGACCATTGGGACCCAAAACCAGATCCAATGCAAAATCTGACAGTCTCAACGTGCCAAAATCTACATTCGCTCTGCTATTGAGCAGGCTACCTATTGATTGGCTACTTTCCAGTATCTGGCCATTTATCAAAAGGCTGTCAGATAAGTCAATATGAGAAGAAACAGAATTCTCTGTGTTGTTTACTAAGGGTTTCGGAGAACTAACAAAGTCAGTTATCTTGACTTACTTCAGTTTCCTTGGAGCCGCAAGGTAGATTTTATCACAATATTTAGCACGATATGTGCTAAAGTTCCTAAGGGGGAATAGAAGGCTTGGAATCACTATGGTCACATTCCCAGGCCTGCAATGTTTTAGGGAGCCGATTACCTCCACCTTTCCTACCGGCTCCCAAGTCCAAGACAGGTGTAATTGATATTGGGGTGTTACACTGGACCTGCCTTAGCACTGGTGGAGATAAGGTAAGATCGAGGATTTCCATTTCATATAAAATGTAAAATATAAATATCCACTGAGGATGGCAACAGTCAGCAACCCCCAAAAGGCCTCACCGAATGTAATCAGCAATTCCTCAGTTGAAAGCTCTCAATCAGCTGCAGATCCACAGATGGTGTAGGATTTAGTTGAGTTTAAACAAAGCGAGATAACTCAGATCTTAGATGTAAACAACCCTCAAAGACTGCTGTCAGCTACTGGCAGAGCTCCACAAAAGTCCAAGGTCAATTTTCTCATACAATAAGGAAAAATTAATATCTAGCAAAACCGGGAGTCTTCATTCTCTCCTCCTCTGGCATGCCAGCTCAATATCCTATAAATAATAAAGTTTTCAACTTGTCATATGAGTGGAATTGGGAAAGACACGGAAAGTCAGTATGAATAGTGGATGGAGAGTTCAATTTAAAAGGGAAGCTCTGGGTCGGAATTCAGTTTATCGGGCGATAGGCCAGTCACTGTCGCTGTAGATAGTGAGGTATACATATGAAAAATGTGTGGGGAAGTTGTGTGAGATGTCAGTACAACTATTTTGTTATCAGGGAAGAACAGATGAAGTAGCTACAGGGCCCAGTCCTCTGTATGTGATGTCTGGAAACAACTTGTTTCATTGCTGCTAATGTGCTTCCATTACAGAAGGTGAGTGTTGTGCCTGGTGATCCTCCTCAGACCCACTAGCCATGCCCGGGATTGTGGTGTTCCGTCGTCGCTGGTCTGTAGGCAGTGATGACCTCGTCTTGCCAGCCATCTTTCTTTTCCTCCTTCATACCACCTGGTAAGTGGAAATTTGTAGCTGAGGGAAAAACCTGCAGTGTCTCCCAGACAAAAGCTTGGGCAATGAGTTGTTTGTGCTTTGTTTTGCTCCTTACATTTCCAGATATTGGTAATATAATGCCCCTCTAAAAAGTATAGTTCAAAATCCTTGAGTTTTGTATTGCATTCTATTCATATTATTTATTAAATCTATTTCTGAATGGCCCCTCTGTTTGATGAATGAATGCTCAGTTCAGTTTACAATAAAACTGTAAACAAAATAAAACGCAACAAATTCAAACTAAAACAGAACTGATAAAGTATATGACATTACAATGAAACAGAGTGACCTTCTGAAATCAAAGTGTAGCCTTGATTAGCAGAACCTTGTCAGCACAGGATAGTTCCATTTCAAGGCCAAAACAAGAGACCCATCCTAACCTGCCAGGGAAGGATTTCACACAGAATAGCTACCACACAAAAAGTCCTGTTCCTGTTCCAACTCAACCTGTCCAGTAGCTTAGACATGTTATAGAGCCTCAGTGAAGAACAAAATTATGTATGAACACACATGGAAAGAGATGGGCTTTCAAATATCCAGGACCAGAAACTATTTTTCATAAGTATAGAATAGCAGATTGAATTGGCTTTAGAGGCAGATTGAAAGCCTCTGTTAAGGGCTCAAATGTTTTTGTATAATGTTTTTAACCCACCTTTCTCCTTAGAAGGACCCAAGGTAGCCTACATCATTAAAAGACAATATTAAAACTAACAACAATGAGTAT